TTTCTCTTTTCTCTTCTTACTATTTTTTCCTTTCTCAAATCTCTCCTTTCCAGGTATTTCCCTGCAGTTTTCCTTTTAAATGGTAATCACCATAAATCCACCATCTAATTGGGGCTTTTGTTGTTATCAAATGGTATCTATCATCCTTATCTCTGTCTTCAAATCTGGCTATACTATGGATAGATAAGTACTTCTAAGCAGTTTTCTCTTGAGTCCCTGAAGAGTACCCACATAGACTTCTCCACTTCCTCCTGACCAGCTCCCAAATGTATGCTTTGTCCTACTGATATCATTCGACAATATCTAGGAAACCTCCCAGACATCTTTTCCTCTCTCTGTGCCTTCATCTTTGCTTTATATTTGAAGTCCCTCTCTTGGGAAAGTCTTCTTGGACACATCTCTGACATGTCAGTTGAATTGTACTTTACCTGACATATCTCAGTTTATCTAACTAGGATCCAAAAATCTTATACTGGTTTATTTATAAAGTCAAACAGATCACAACCTAAAATGGAATTCATACTAGAAATCCAGTAAGACTGTATTGCAGATGTCAAAAGTGTGTGTGTGTGTGTGTGTGTGTGTGTGTGTGTCTTTCACACACACACTCACACAGAGAGAGAGACAGACAGAGAAAGAGAGAGATCCACTAAAGGGAATCAGATTCATCACTGTGTTCTCTGATGTGAAAAAGGAAGACAGACAAATTTAAACAGGGAATAACTCACTGAGCAACAAGGTCAAATCATAAAAAGAATGGATATTGATAATTAAACCTAGGAAAGTGATATGTGTGTAGAAAACTTGAACCTTGTAAATAATTTAGTTGTGGGTTTGCTCTCTTATTTTTGATTCCTGTGCAAAGGTAACAAGTGTCATGTAAACAACCTAGACCTGTTTGACTCTCAAATGTTACTCCTGAATAGAAGGCTCTCCTTGGCACCATAAGTGCTCTGTGCCCATCCAGCTGACTTCTACCATTCACTTTTGTTAGCTCCTTCCTTGTGCTCCCACATCTAGAATTAGTCCCTTTCAGAATTGCAAGCTTGTTTCAATTCCTCTGATGGCTTTCCAGCACTCACTATCTGACTGGATCCGTGTTATTACATGTTTCCCTTGTTCTCTTGACAAAGAAGTCTTCCATCAACTAGACTATGCATGACTTTCTAACAATGCCCAGATCCTTTCAGCCTTGCAGGTAGCTGATTTTTGCTCAAGCTGGGAACTTTTCTCCCTAGTAAATAGATGTAAAAACATTCCTCATGTTTTTACAGGAGCTGCACTTACTTCAGGACATTGTGTCCATCTTTTTTATTCCAGATACCCTCTCCAATGCTGTTGTAAAAGGAGGAGCAGCTGGTAGCTTCCTGCTGCCCACCAAGCTTAACCACGAAATAACAACACACAAATTGTATTCATTTAAACACTGCTTGGTTCATTAGTTCTAGCTTCTTATTGGCTAACCCATTTCTAATTATCTGTATGTCATCACGAGCTCGTGGCTTACTGGAAAAGATTCAGCATATCTGACCTGACAGCTTCATGGCAGGCGGCTCTCTCTCTCTCTCTCTGCCTCCTTTTCCCCAGCATTCTGTTCTGTCTACTCTGCCTATCTAAGTTTTGCCCTATCAAAAGGCCAAGGCAGTTTTCTTTATTCAACCAATGAAAGCAACACATAGAAAGAAGACCCTCCTACACCACAATGCCTCCATGGTACTTACAAAAAAGTCAAATAGGAGGCATAATGATTGATTTACAGAGGAAAATCTCTTCAGACACATTCTTATACACAGTGTAAAACAACCATTCTGACAATAGTTTCCTTTTAATGCTAATAAAATATTTTATACTAACGCTGATAAACTAATTAAAATAATCAAAACTAGAATGCCCTATGTTCCCGCTACTCTTGGTCTTTTGTTTATCTAATACTAACTATGTTGCCCAGGGTCCTTAAACCAAATATATTCTAAAGAATGGGAAAACTCCTTAATGCTGTATTGGTGACATATTCTTGCTGTTTGTACTGAGATAAAAATGGCAATGTCAGACACAACAGCAGTCAAATTTGATGCCTGGGGCATCACTTTTGATCACGATCCTGACAGCTGTGGATGCTAAATTGAGCTTTCCTATGAACTCTTTACTCACACCTCTTTATGAAAGCCACCCATGGATTGGTTCTATATTTTTGTGTTTTGCATCTGTACTTGGAGTCTGAGAAAACAAATAATACACAAATCCCATGACATAGGATGTGGGGAGGAAAAACACCTGACAACAGGAATATTTTCAGCTACATCCAATAAGAAAGACCTTGGCTCTACCAGCAAGACCTTTCCAAAACCCTGGAAAGGATCAGATGGGATTGCTTTAAGAGATCATTTCTACATGCATTCTGCTAAGTACTTTGTGCAGGTCAATGATGTTTTGACCCCCACTATGAAGCCCGCCAATGGTGGCATCACATGTCCCTTTCATTCACTGATTCATATACATAGAATAAGCTTTTTGTCAGTAAATGTCAAGAAGTATTTCGTTTTAGTAGTCATACCTTCTCTGTCACAACCATATTATCTGAAATGTTGATGCAGACAGTATAACTGCCTTTTATGAATTGTTAATTTCATAAAAATTCTGTGTCACAAAACTCTGGTCTTCTGATTTTTTTCTAATCATTTGAAATTACAAATAGTGTTAAAGACTCAAAGACCCTCTCCCAAACAAACATGGTAGACAAATTTTGTGTGCAAATCAAAATCTACCAACATACTCTCTAAATGTTATGTTCTCTGTTTGCTTCATTTTAAGGAAGGTAGAGAGTCATGTGAAACAGGTTGGTACAGTTTAGCTGAAGATGTGTCCATTATCTAATCATTGGGAAGATCTCTAAAAGAGCCATCACTATTCATAATTTTGAAAGTCTAGAAAGATATGTATCACATTTGAAACAAAAGTGCAAAATTATCCATTCCCTGGAAGTACAGTTTGGGTGTTATGGCTTATCTACATATTTTAGAAAAACATACAAGCAAAACAAACTAAGCCAAACAGAGCAGGAAACAAAATATTTGCAATCTATATAATGTAATATTCTATTTTTGGGCCAGGTTGTAGAGGTGCATAACTCTGAGCCTAGCACTCAAGAGTCAGAGTCAGGTGGATCTCTGTGAGTTTGAGTCCAGCCTGGTCTACAGAACTAGTTATAGGTCAGCTAGGGCTGTTACACAGAGAAACACTGTCTCCGAAAACAAAAGAAAGAAAGGGAGAAAGGGAGAAAGAAAGAAAGAAAGAAAGAAAGAAAGAAAGAAAGAAAGAAAGAAAGAAAAGAATATTCCATTTTTATTATGATGAAAAGACAAAGGTTAAAGTTTTGAAGTTTTATTTGTAGCTGAATCCTCAGAGGATTTGGTGATAATTATATCTGATATACTCCGGAACTATATTTGATCCCATTCTTTTGAAATATTATTTTACCTAGGCAAAGATGTGTTACATTTGTTTATGTTGCAGAATATTGCTTTAATTTTGGAAAGGTGTATTATATTTGCTTATGCTGCATTTTTTAACTACCTAAGATATGTTACATTTGTTTATGCTGCATTTGTTAATTATGTTAAGATGCATTGCTGTTTCATCTTGCCTGCCTAAGGCAGCTGCTAGGTCTAATAAAAAAGCTGTATGGCCAATAGCTAGGCAGTAGAGGTATTGGTGCCCTGGCAGGCAGAGAAAATAAGTGGAGGAAAAATCTAAATCTAGGCAAGGACAGGGGAGGAAGTACAAGAGAACTACGGAGAAAGAGAGGGACGCACCTGGGACCAGGAGCCAGGCAGTCTCCAGCCAAATATGGAGACAGCAGGAAAGTAAGGTATCCAGAAAAAAAGAAAGGTAAAAAGTCCCAAGGCAAAAACATAGATAAAGGGAAATAGAGTTAAGAAAACATAGATAACAGAAAAGTGTTAAAGCCAAGCACTCATAATTAATAACAAGTCTCTGTGGCCCAAAAGAAAAAGTCTGGTCTACATTCTCATGACTTTTCATAGCTGTTCAACCAAGAGAACTGATCCTTCCAATCTTTAACTTAGCAGTTGCTGACGAGCACACACCAGGCTGTGGTGGATTTTTCAATAGTTTACACCTCTTCAGAAATGCTCACTCAACAGACCTTGACAAACTCACTTGAAGGAGCCGATGGCAGAGGTAATGTGATCAAGAGGAGAGCATTCAGTTTTCTTCAGGCAGCAGAAGTCGCTGATTTAAACTTCCAGTTGTTATAGACACAATTTCTTTCTTGTCTGTTTATTTTGTTTCCTAATATGTCAGTTGAGAGTGATATAATGGTGTGGTCTCTTAGTAAGTGAGAAAGAAAGAAAAATAAGAAAGCAAAAACACCTGTAGCCTGTTTCTCAGAAATAGAGAATTACCCAGGCCGGTTGTTTTGGCAGATTCCGACAGCAGTGGCTGGACAGGGTGTGTTGGATCCATTTGGCCTAATGTGTTGCTGCTCAACGGGTTAGTAAACACTGAAGTGTGGTGGAACAGCACCATTATTTTCAAACTGAAGTTTACGGTCCACAATTTTGTCTCCCAGAGGACTTGTGAAACTGCAGAACAAATAAACCCATCTCCCTGCAGCTTTAATTATACCCAAATCCAGCAACACATATTGTTTGTATACTTAAGAATTATACACAGATTAGAGAGATAGAACACAAGATCTCCTGAAATTCAAAACTGAAACAAAACCAAAAGTCTTGCCATGAACCTTGAATTTATCTGCCTTCTTCTTAGATAAAGGCCAGTACCACGCTTGACAGAGACACAGTGAGTTTGGTAGAAAAACACAAGCAGTGTTTCTTCATGTCCCACTCTTTCATTAGAGAAAGAGACCTTGAAATGACTTCATGATTCAACCCACACTTGAAGGAAAAGGAAGATTTGCCAACTGTTTCTGCCATCAGTAGAATACAGGAGACATTAGCATATTTAAACGGACTCACCCATTTTGATGCACACAGTGCCTCTTCATCTCAATTACTGGTTTTCAAATGCTAGTGGATCCAGGAGTCAAGAATTATTCATCCAAGTTGGTCTAAGCTGTTCTGTTAGTCTCTGTGATAAACGGCCTCAGAAAATCGACTGAGATGAACAAGGATTTCTCTTTACTTCTGGTGTTTCAGAGCATGGCCCTTTGACTGAATTGTTCTGGGCCTGTGGGGCAGAAGAACATGATTAGCAGCATTTAGTGGTGCAAAGCTGATCATCTGAAGACAAGAAATAAAAAGACAGACAGGGAGGAGCCAAGGACAGAGCGTGCCCTACAAGGGCTTCTCCTCAGTGCTCTTCCAACTAGCAGCTACAAAGTTCCCACCACCTCCCAAGAGCCCAGTCAGTGTAAACACATCAGCAAAAGCGCACCTACAGTCATTGCTGACTCTGGGAACAAGCCTGTAACATAGGAGCCTGGAAGAACAATTCAGATCAAAATCAGAATGATTGTAATCTAGTAGAGGTCACCACCTCCCTTGAATCATTGCAAAGGCAGAACTCTTGAAAACGTCATGCAAACAGGAACTCTGAATTCTTTCCTTGTATTATAGGGTTTTAACAAATTTGTGAAATATTGTAAATTTAAAACGAGGGCTGTAAATATTTGCCAGAGGTGTTGTGTTTGTCTAGTGTGCATGAGACCAGAACCCTGAGCTGTATCATTGTATCGCAGTATTGCAGAAGGGAGAGAGTATATCGACAGACAGAAAGAAAAAGTTTGCAAATATTTCAATGAGGAAAAACATCTTCCTAGTTTTATAAAGTTGAATGTTATTTCGCTCCTCTAACATCCCCGAATACTTCTTGTTGGTACAAAAAAATTTTATTAATCATCTATCCTTTTTCTAAGTGTAGGATAGACTTAGTTTGCTTCATTAAGATGAATTATATCAGTTACTGAAATTGAAACACTCAAAAAAATGCACTTATAATGATCTGTCTTTTCTGCCCTCCTCCCTATTCCTCCCTCTGTCCTTTCTTCCTTTCCTTCATTTGTTTAACAAAATATAGAACGACAGATGTGTAAAGAGAGAACTAGGGAAATATAATACCATCTCAATTGCTTTATCCATTTATTTCCAGTTGATTTTACATCTGGTCCAGCTGTGTTGTTTGTTGTAATTCTGTTGGCAACAAGCATTCCTCCCCAGCTCTCATGAACATTTTCATATCCAGAAAATTTGATGAAAAATTATAGCAATGAACTAATCAATCTTTTTATTACCCTCTCAAATATGCCCCCAACTAGTCTGCTGTGGATAACAGCAAATGCTTGTACTTTCTCTTTTATCTGGGTCATTCTCTCGTTCAAAGGAACATCATTGACCTCGCCTCCTGACATCTTCTTTGAAAGCCATTTCAACTTGCCCATTTTGGTGACACTATACTTATGTTCTCAAATTAATGCCTAATCCTGTACCTAGTTAATTATAACACCCTTTTCAATAAAATAAATTCTCAATATATCAGTAGGCATGAAATATTATTTTAATATTATCAACCTACTTTCAATTCCAAATACTAATTTCTTGCTATTTCACCACATATCCAAATAATTTTCAGTTCTCAACATTCCTCAAACACTTTAGACCATGTCATAATTAGCCTTTACACATATATTCCACACCTGTCTGTCATTTATTCCCAGAACTGCTTTGCTCTGGATTAGACATCTCTCAATGACCTGTGGAATAAAGGCTCACTTCCCAGGTTAGCGCTACTCAGAAGCAGAGCTGTGGCTCAGCATGAGCTCCTCTGGTCACTGGTGACATGTTCTTGAAGGGGAACTGGGACCTAACCCTGTCCCTCTCACACTTTTCCATCCCTGGCTTGAGGAAAGCAGCTACATGCTCTCCATCATGCTGTGCTGCCTCACTGCAGGCTAAAGAAAAAGGCAGACCAGCTATTGCCTAAAATATCAAAAATATCTGCTAAAATCAACTCTTCATAATTTTATCATCTCAGTTATTTTTTTACAGTAATCCAGATGTAACAGCAAATTACACCCCTCAGATGACAGCAAATTAATCTGCCCATGGGACTTCAGAAGGGAGGAAAACTAAATGGCATAAGCAACACTGTAGAAACAAACATAAATACAGCTTTTCTAAATTACATTTTAACATTCCACTGCCTTGTTTTTCATATAATAATTAGAGTTGAAGATCATAAATTTGTCTTTATAAGACCCTTAAACAAAGAATGTCAGTGTGCCAATAGACCATAAGGTTAGTATCTGACTGTCATCTGTATCTACATATGAAAAAGAATGAAAATGAATGTCTGTGGCTTATTTTAGCAAGTCTTTCTCTGCCCCACCATCCAGCTCCCAAATCAAGACACATAGAGTTATCTTTAATTATGAAAGTTCAGCCAGTAGCTCAGACTTATTTCTAACTAGCTCTTACAATTTAAATTAACCCATGTCTGTTAATTTGCATGCTGCCACATGACTCATAGCTTGTTACTTTATCTCCTGCATGCCATGCCTTCTCTGTGCCTGCTTGCTACTCCACCCTTCTTTTTTTCAGAGTCCTCTATGCCTGGAAATCTTGACAAGTTATTGGCCATTCATCTTTTTATTAAACCCATCAGAGCGACATATCTTCACAGTATACACAAAGATTTTCCCATAACAGTTTATCTTATATTTCTTAGGAACACTGTTACCAGAAGGGGGACAAAAACAAGACTCTCAAGTTTCTAAAGCCCTATCTTGTGGAAAACATTTATAAAATTACTATCCAATCCAGCTATTGTAACTCCTACACATGTTGGTAGACATAGCAAATACCTTTCCAAAACTTTTCCAAAAATAAATAATAAGTAATGTCAGAGGTAGAAAAGAATGAAACAGCTATGCTATCGATGGGAATGAAACTGCCTTCTTTTTACTGCATTGTTTGGGCTCTATGGCTGTTAGTCCTTGCTACAACTGATATGTAAGCCTCCTCTCTGAGAAGGGGATCTCATGGTATCAGAAGATACTATTAACCCACAGGGCAGGAAACCCTGACTGCTCTTAGGACTGGAGAGGGAGGGAGAGAAGGTGTGGGGGGAGTGGGAGGGTATTGGGAGGAAGTGGAAATTTTTATAAATAAATAAATAATAAAAATAAATAAATAAATAAATGGAAAAAAGATACTATTCAAGCTTCCAAGGAAGAAAAGAAATCAATTGTCCTACCCAGACATAAAGTCTGTGACGCATAACAGAGATAATCACAAGATATCCCTAGAGGGTATCCTCAACAGGAGGGAATCCATGCTTATTCATGTAATGTAAACCTAGCCAACTACTTATAAATGGTGAATCCTTGAACCCTAAAGGAGAATCTATGACTGCCACTTCCCTAAACCAGAATAATTTCTATCTATATACTAAATACTTTTCTTTATACTTGCAGATAAATAAGTATTACTCATGTCCCTCAAAAAAGAAGTTTACTTTTAATCAGGCAATAACCATTACAGAAATTCACAACTGCTCAATATTCAGAGAACAACTGGTCTTGAGACACCCAGCACCAATTCATGCATACACAATATAACCCCTACAACCTAAGGCTCGAGGAACAACACAGAAGTAGGGATAGAAAGATGGTAAGAGCCAAGTTATCAGGATGTCTACTTTTAGATGGTGACTTTTATTTTTTTAATTCAATTTTATTTTTATCTTGTTCCCCTTTTAGATAGTGTCTTCTAAATATCGTAGTGCAAGCTGCACACATAAAAATTCCAACAATGTATTAGTCACCCTAACAAGACCTGAAAGTGACAATACCAGTTGATATGCCAATGTCCATTGGAAAAAAAATCTCCTAAGACTTTAACTCTATATGAATATCTACTAAATCTCTAGATAAATATCCTTAAGAAAGGGAGAATCAGTTTTCTTTAGGGATGAGTTTCTTAATAGGTTATCCAACCCGAAGTGATCAGTTCTAAGTCCATATAGATATGAACAACACTACAGGAACTCAGGAGGTTACAATCATACATTTATATGATAAGAATAGTAATGATAAAATAAAAGACAAGATACTTGAGGAGGAGCAGAGTAACAGGAGAGGATCCAGAGGTAGGACAGTGAGGAGAAGAGAGGTAGAAATATAACACTCATATTCTGGATTCTCAAAATAAACAAATTAATACCGTAAAAGAGGTTCATGGACAGAGGGTTGGTGGAGAGTGACCTTTTGTGGAGCATTTGTGAGAGCAGTCATTTCAGTAACTTGGAGTCTGGACCAAGAAAGGAACAGTTGTAGTTGCTGCTCTGCTGGTCAGAGAGCTTATGCTGTGCACAACAGACTCTTGCTAAACTATATGGATGGACTCTGTGGACGATAGAGTTACTGAAACTCTGCATTGGGGTTGAGCACCACATGCACACACGTCAACTGCCTCTAACCATGACACACAGTAATACAAGCTACAGCAATGTTGGGGAGCAGTGTATGCAGCATATGTGGAATTTACTGAATATGCCAGCTAACAAGAAATAGAAGATTTAAAAAAGATATTTTTTTTCTTCCTGGGGTTTGGTTCAGTTTGGTCGATTATAAATACAGTAAATCATAACTGGACAGCAGGGCACAGTGTAAGCTTTGTAGGAAAATAATGCATTTGAAGGAGAAAAGGCTAATCTATAAAGTTATGAAACAACTGTTTGCCATGGTTTTTGCTTGTTTGTTCACTCAAAGTAGAAAACCAAAAGTGTGAGATTATGCGTTCTGCCAGACATAGTAGGCCAAGCCTCTAATCTCAACACTCAGGAGGCCTAACAGGAACTTTGCCATGATTGGATTTCCAGGCCAAACTGAGCTATAACATACAATCTTGTCTCGCAAAACAAAATAAGACAACATATTACCACCTGACAACAGTAACATTCCACATACAATAGTTTCCCCCTCTTCCTTGTATGAGGCATACATTCTAAGACTCCCAGTGGATGCCTGAAACCAGGTTTTCTTGTACATAAAAACCTATGATGGAGTTTAACCCACATATCAGGCAGAGGTAGAGACTGACATCACTGACTAGTAATAAAAATGGGTTATATATTGCTATAATATTATACTGTTATATAAATGTGAGAATAATGCATTAGTTACATTCTCTACATGTTATGCTGGCCTTCA